AAAGGAAGATGGTGGCTTTTGCATTCATGCCCTACACTCTCACAGCTATAGGGCAGCATGCACTGCAAGTCCTTTTCATTCCTCTTTTCTCTTCTATCTTCTTCCATTCCCAGTTTACATCACAAGCTAGACCATGCTACCTTCCATGCCATCATGTTCTTGCAATCAGCCTAGATTACAATTATACTTTGTCCTCAAAAAATGGATCCAGGACATGATTGCACTGCACTTATAGTAGATAGATAGACAGGTTTGGTGTGCAAGCGGATTAGGAGCACTCGGAGTGCTCCACCCCCTATATTCAAAAATAATTTAGTAATTCAAAAAAATTTAAAAATCCCAGAAAAGTTTTTGAATCAAATATGACTAAGTATTGTACTTGTATAAAAAGTTTGGCCAAGGAATGATTCCCGTTGACTTCAGAAAAGAAAAAACAAATTTATGATGACAATATAGCTTGAATAGTACTTGTATCTAGCCTTTTTTGGTAAATCTTTGACCCCAGATACAATAAAAGTCATCCCCTGTTTAATCTTTTCATATTTTGAGGGAAGTTTAATCTTTTTATATGAGTGCAATACTTGGTCATGTTTGATTCCATAAAAAGTTCCAGGATTTTTTGACTTTTTTGAATTATGAAATTGTTTTTTAATATAGGAGGGTGTAGCACCCGAGAGCTCCTATGCATTTTCGTGTTTGGTGTGGGCTATATAGGCTGCTAGAGCTAGATTATACAGTATAAATAGCAGTTTATGTCAAGTGTCTCTGTGTCCACCTCTCATTTCAGTGTTGCATGAATGCACTTAGCCTTCTTGTTTGGTCAACACGCATCATATATACATGATTGATTGCTCAGTGGACGAGCTAGCGCTATTTTCCTCCTCTGTGCAGATCAGCTGTGGCCTCCATACATGCATGTACTAGTGGTAGTAATTTGAAAGGGCTGTGTGCTTGATTTCAGTTCATAAGAGATCGAGCTAGCTATCGGGCGGCAAGGTAGATGCTAGCCATGGACCAGCACCAGGAGGAGTCTTGTGTTCCCCCAGGGTTCAGGTTCCACCCCACAGAGGAGGAGCTGGTGGGGTACTATCTGGCCAGGAAGGTGGCCGCCCAGAATATTGATCTCGGAATCATCCAGGAGGTCGATCTCTACCGGACCGAGCCATGGGACCTCCAAGGTACTACAAATTCGTCTGAATTTTGGTATAGTTCATTTCCTAGTTTGCACATGGTATTCAGTTGATGCAAGTTGGGTGTTAACAATGGTGGATGGTGCAGAGAAGTGTGGCGGCGGCAGGGGAGGACGGGGAACGCGTCAAGTGACCGCGGACGAGCAGTCATCGTCGGAGTGGTACTTCTTCAGCTTCAAGGACCGCAAGTATCCAAGCGGCATGCGCACCAACCGCGCCACGGCGGCCGGATTCTGGAAGGCCACCGGCAGGGGCAAGCCGGTGACGTCATCGAGGAGCCGCAGCGTCATTGGCATGAGGAAGACGCTCGTCTTTTACAGGGGCCGCGCCCCCAATGGTAGGAAAACCGACTGGATAATTCACGAGTACCGTCTCCAAACCAGCGAGCACGGCCCCACCCAGGTGAGTAATTCATCAACAAACCTTCTTCTTGATTAGTTGCTCTTTTCTTTAGAGAATTTGATTGACATTGATGATGATGGTGATGACGTAGGAGGAAGGTTGGGTGGTGTGCAGGGCGTTCCAGAAGCCAACCCCGAACCAGAGGCAATCCTACACGTTCCCAGCATATGCCACTGCTCTGGGCCTCGGGGGCTACTACGATGCGCGGCCCTGCCTACACGGCCAAGGCGGTAACCTCCATTACCTGCATAGCGCTGCTTCCACTGCCGGAGCTGGCGGCCTTTGCTTCCCCGGCCAGAGTGCCCAGTACTCCTCCGAGGACACGCTGGAGTGCAAGAAGGGCATCTTCAACAACATCCCACAGCTCATCCAGAGCCCGCCGCCAGCGACCGCCTTTGCTGGTTGTAGTGAAGCCGGATACGACGTAGTCCAGCCCAAACTAGCAGCGACAGGCATCGACTGGAACTTCCTGGACATCTTGTTTTCAACGTCGCTGCTCCCCGACTCCTCCGCAGCCAGTGCTGCCTCAAACCTTCAGCTTCCCCTACACCAATCATCGCTAATTTATGAGTGACATAATTCGCAGAATGGTTAACGCATGTAACTTTAAACCCCTTAAACGTACAGAGCATCGCTTTGATCTCTAGCTGCTGAGTAGTTCCTCCCGGATTCAGGTAGCATGTCAATCAACACCTTCCATGTAGATTTGCTTCTTACCCCTTGATTTGTTGGTCATGTAAATATGATGGAGGTGAGAGTAACATTCATGAATATTTTTTTATATCTATGAATATTTTTAAAATTCAAAACACGAAAGAAAATTGAAACAAATAAAAAACCAAAAGAAAAGTGAACTTAAAAAACTCAACTAAAAGCACAAAAATAGAATGAAGGGAACAGATTAGTGGCTAGCGAAATTAGCTGAAACTTATCGATACATAGTGAAAGAGCTTGCGATTTAAATCAAGCACTAATGGGATGCAATGAATCGAAGTTAGTGACCACCGCTCCATATGCATACGAACTTAAACCGTATGACCTTATCACAGCACCCTGGCCCAGGTTAAAACCACCAATCAAATGACGGATATAGCCCCACTGAAGCATTCACTGACACCCCAAGACTCTTTTATCCGAGAGATTGATTTTCGAGAATAGGTGTAGAAACATTTCCATGAGCAAGTCTGCTGCCTTGTGGACCAAGCACAATTGGGTGTGCTTCTGATAATGATAGTAATCATACTCGAGATTCTACAATGCACTGCATTGCTCAACAACATTTCCCTGCAAATACCAGCGAAGCCCGACTTCAAGAACACGCACCATGTGCTTCATGTCATACACACACTACACATGACATCCTTAAACAAATTGAATATCACAACACAAACTCTAAATGGTGACATGAGAATTCATAACACGTCTCTTATACAAGAGCAAGTAGCTAAGTACAAACAAATGGCTTGAAGGCCGGCCATAACATGGCAGTGGATAACGCATGAATAAAAGAGATGCCAGCCCCGCCATTCCTATTAAAAGACACAACCCGAAACGAGCTAGTTGACCGAGTGACCTAGTAACTAGGAATCACCCACGTGACTAGAATCGACGTAATCGCCCACACAAAACTCATTAGAATTGGAATTGGAATTCCCAATGAACACTTTCATACTTGCAAGACCACTTTCATATTATAATTGGAATTCTCAATGACCACTTTCATACTTGCAAGACCTGTACATAATTAAAAAGAAAGTAGAATGGCATGAACATGGTCACAAAGTAGCATGTCGCGAAAATAAAGCATCACGAAAGGAGAGTTGCGTTTTGGCACATGGGACCATATGCTCCTGGATATTAAAATGTGTTTTAAACATATTTTAAAATATCAAAAAATTCTGACAAAATGATTCTCACGTACATCTCGACATTCTATGTGCATACAAACTCGTTTCCTGGAAAACCGACAAAATTTGTGTCACATGCAAAGAAGACAAAATTTAGTGTTAAGAAGGCTTTTCATGAGACATTTTTTTGTCTTTTTAACACAAGGCGTATAAAATGCCGGTTTTTCACAAAACTTGGCGTGCACACATAAAATGTTGAGATGTGCGCGTCAAATTTGTGTTCGAAAATATTTGATATTTTGAAATATAGTTTTCGATGGTAGGAGCATATGCTCCCATGTGCCAAAGTGAATTTCCAATCACGAAAGTATGTCAAGACATGGGTTGAGACAACCCATATACATGGAACAAGTCAAATGCAAATACAGACTTAGGAAATGAAGTACCAATGTTCACAATACAGACACACATTATGTCACATCAAGACTTGGGTTAAATCAACCCAAGCCACCAATTAAATTCCAGCACTTTTGTCAGAATTGGTCTAGAAAGCCCAAATTCCTATGGATTATAAGTTAGAGTTGGCCAGCCACAACTAACAAAGTCCAATAGACACCAACGCTCTCATCGTTACTGATGGCAGAGACCCACCAAAGCCAGTGATGACCACAAAGGAACGTGCCACCAATCCATCAGTTGGAATCAAACCCCTACAATCAAAACTCACTTATTACTTAAGAGAGTTCAGCATTAAAATCCCTTAATAAGGGGCTCGTCAACACATTTGGACATGATCCTATCCATATCATTGTACGTTGTTCCATGTGGCTGTACGTTGCCATCAGATGGCTCGCTTGGTTCTAGCAGGGGGGGGGGGTGTCTCGCTTGGTTCTGGCAGGGGGGAGGGGGTCTTCACGGTGGAGATCAGCTCCTCAGATAGCATCAATTGTTTCACCTCTCTCACAAGATGGCATGTGCTGAGCAGTCATGCGTGCTAGAATACACCATGTTAACGAGCTCATGGCAGTTTGATTCCACTACAATCGGTTGCACGCTCCACTACAGGGCTAGCTGAATTCCTTGCATGCAGGCGCTAAGCACTGCCTTGAGTATCAAGCCATAGTGCCGAAGGGATCGGAGTAATAGTACACCTACGTAAGGGATCTTACATGACCTATGTAATGGATTAAGTGGTATCTTTTGATTGGATGAAATGAAGGAAAGGGGCCCACCCAGTTGAATTACGGGGGATTTATTGGTTAGGGATGGAAAGTCATGTAGCTATTCGTAGCCCGTTTGTAGGTCTAGCAACTAGGAGAAATAATGATCTTCTCATTGTATTCTCAAAGGGGCATTTTGGGTGGCGCCCATGCCAGCATTACCAAATCGGGGCTAGCCAATTTTTTGCAGCCCCCGGCTCGCCAATGACTTGGCCCAAGAACAAAACGCGCGACCGAAATTTGGCGTAGATCAGAAAAATCGGCTTCCAACCAAACGTGAGCCATTGAGTGAGTCAACGACCACAAAAATGGCTAGGGCTGCTATTGGCTGCGATCCAAACAACCCCTAAGAATCAAACCCGCCCAAGCATCCTACTTTCTGGTGGTGCGAAAAAAAGTCACAGGAGAAGAGAAGAATGTTCCTGTCCGTTCGTCCATAATTTCCGTTAAATAGGTAGATGACATGTCCATTCAGTAGGTAGGTACATAAGGCAGTACTGTGATGCTATCAAATAGTGTATGTGCTACGTACGTAAGCTTGCTCCATGTCGATGGGCATTGAGCAGAGAGTGGACAGACTTGAATATATACGCTCGTTACAATTTATTCTGTTGTTTTTCCGAATCGGGTCGAGCCCCGGCCCTATGCATACTGTGCTAAGCTAGTCAGGTGGCGGAGGAGGAGAGGTCCCCATGCGGCGGTGGCGCAGCAAATTCCCCAGGCGGCTGCCGGCGACAAGCAATGTTAGAACTAATCTTGTCATATGTATCTGCATTTGTATTCTTGTTTTGCATGTAGCTAGGTATAGTCATATAGTCAGCTGTACACCGCCAAGATGTTTGTGTGATACATACGTAGACGATAAGTCGTCGGCCGAAGAGCGTGCATGGTGAGATGCTACTGTCGTGCAAGGCAGTGGAGATGCGAAATGCCGAGTGCCGTGTGAAGCGGGCGGACCAGACCTGAAGCTGATGACAAACAAATAGTTACTAGCTTCATGCATGCATAGATATGGAGTTAGTTTTAGATATGGCCTAATGGTGTGGCTGTTGGAGTGATTCCAGGAATAGGACAAGGCTGGTTAGTGCATGCATAGATTATTGGGGTTAGTTACTTCGTGCATGTAGTTGGGGTAATGGTCAAGTAGTGGCCTGAGTTTTGCATGGCAGGTGTGCCAACCTCCTTTTTATATGTATTGCTTTGAGTAAAGATAACAAGGCCGTGAGGGCCGTGCAAAAGATGTAGTCTCTCGAGTGAACCAAGGAGCTGACCTCTTGGCAAAGCTATTGTGTCTTCTCCTTGGTGTACGTGTGCGTGTG